TTTTTGTATAGCCAGATCAACCCGGGGTAACTCGGGTAAGAACCATCACGCCAAATACAAAAAAAAAACTCAAAATATACTCCATGGTACTAAAAACAAGTTATCTCAAAAAAGGTTAGACATGGTATCCCTCCTACTACCTAGAAGTGGAATGTTGTGGTAAAAGGAAGTGGAATGTAGTAAAGTGGTGAGGGGTAATTTATGAGGCGGTTGTTGGCTCCGAGTTTCCATCGTTGTATGGCGGGAGTAGAACCAACTTCACCAGTGGTCTTGTGACTTGACCTTTCTCCGTCGAGATGTCCACTACTCGTACTCTGCTGTCGGCACCAGGGTGTACGTTGACAACTCGTCCTAACCTCCACTCAGTGGGGGTTAAGTTGTCTTCCTTGATGACGACCAGATCACCAGGTTTGATATTTTCTTTGGGATGCTTCCACTTAATGCGTTTTTGAAGTTCGGTTAGGTACTCTGTTTTCCATCGCCTACAGAAAGTTTGATTCAGTGCTTTGAGTTTTTGCCACCGATTCACTATGGAGGCAGGAGTTTCATTAACGTCTAATTCTGGTGGGGCTAGAAGATGTCCACCGATGAGAAAATGGCCTGGAGTAAGAGGCTCCAGGTCAGTAGGGTTATTTGAAGAGGGACTCAGTGGCCGTGAATTGAGGCATGCCTCAATACGGCATAAAAGAGTACTAAGCTCTTCAAAGGTGTATTTGTGGGCGGACGCAATTTTTCTAAAGTGGCTTTTGAAGCTCTTTACGCCCGCTTCCCACAGTCCTCCCATGTGAGGCGCTGCAGTGGGTATAAAATGCCACGTCAGCATTTGATGATTGTATTTCGAGATAGTTTTTTCTCGGGTTTCAGACAGAAAAGCTTTAAATTCAGATCGTAAGGATCGTGAGGCTCCGACAAAGTTAGTGCCGTTGTCGGAGTAAATATTTCTCGGACATCCTCTTCTAGCCACGAACCGTGCGAACGCTGCTAGAAAAGATGGGCTACTAAGATCAGTAGTAGCTTCTAAGTGAATCGCTTTTGTCGTGAAACAAACAAATAAACAGACATACCCTTTAGAAACTCGACAACCTCTGCCGCGGTAACTTTTAACATCAAAAGGTCCAGTAAAGTCTACCCCCGTATTGGTGAAAGCGCGAGTAAATGTAGTGCGTTCCGGAGGAAGAGTTCCTATAAGTTGAGTTTGTGACCGTTTTTTAAAGATAATGCATGTCTTACAATTATGGATAGTGGACCTGATCAAGTTCTTGACTTTGGGAATCCAGTATTGGGCACGGATGAGGCGTAGCATCAGTTGATTCTCTCCATGCAAGGAGACCTTGTGAATAAACGATACAATAAGGCGGGGCAACCTGCTGTTATACGGGATAATGCTCGGGTGGCGTTCATTGTATGCTAAGTCCTGGGATGCTCCAAGGCGACCTCCGGCTCTGATAATGTCATGTTTATCGATGAACGGATTAAGCGGAAGGATTTCACTCTTCGCATCGATTGGTTTTTTAGACTTCAAGTTTGCGTATTCTTCACCATAATAATGCTTCTGGTAGATTTTTATCAGGATTTCTGCCATTGTTTTAATTTCATTAGATGAAATTAAACAAGAATTTTCCTGAAATGAAGCTTTTGTTTTGGAATGAGTTCTTCGATAGAATCTCATAACATATGATAAAACTCTCAAAGCTCTCGGTAGATCGGAAAAACGGTCAAGAATATCGATATCATTTGCTCTTGTTGTCGCATAAGTGTGTGCTCTTTTTTCTTCAACTTCTGTATGATAGTCTGTTCCTTGAGCGGGCCACTTGGAGTTGTCTTCTTGCAGCCAAGAAGGTCCCTGCCACCACAAAGAATTGTTGACCAATTCTGACGCAGGTAGTCCTCTGCTAGCCAAATCGGCTGGATTTTAGGCCGAGTCTACGTGTAGCCAGTCCTTCTCCCCTACTTTTTCTACGATTTTCGTAATTCGGTGGGCGACGAAGGTTGACCAAGAACAAGGCGGCTTTCGTATCCATGCGAGTACGATGGTCGAGTCCGTCCATAGATGTGTCTTCACTGGTCCTAGGTTGAGGTTGTTGATTATAGATTCTATGATTTCTGCGAGCAGTACTGCTCCGCAAAGCTCCAGTCGTGGTAGCGATATAGTTTTGACGAGAGCTACTCTGGTTTTTGCCAAAAGTAGATTGACCAAAATTTTGTCATCTCTTTTGACACGCATATATGCCGTAGCCGCATATGCTTTTTCTGATGCGTCGCAGAAACCATGTATCTCTATGGTGTCTCCAGGTGAGAAGTATACCCATCGAGATATTCTGATATTATCTATTTCGTGGTAATGTCTCATAAAATGCTGCCAACGTTCTAAAATAGTATCAGACACAGTCTCATCCCAGTCTGTGCCTTCTAGCCAAATACTTTGCATGAGTATTTTGGCTACGATGACTATTGGTGCGAGCCATCCCAGTGGATCGAAAAGCTTGGCAATCGCTGACAGCCCTTTTCGTAATAGTGTCGTGCTCCTCCAATGGTCTGACCATAAAATAAAATAAATCCGTATGGGCATTCCACCTTATGCCCAGAGCCTTAACCGTGC